GACTTACAGCTAAGGAATGTGGCTGTGTCTCATAGCGCTGTTCAAAAGCATCCAGGCTGGGGCTGTTGCCCCCCCCACAGGAACCACATAGTGGGGAAGGGGGAGAAAATCATGAATATTATAATAGCACCAGCCTTGGAGGAGCACCCCAGGGCTCCATCAGTGAGCACAACTTGCCAGCATGCAAGGTGTGGAGCAAACCAGAACACAGGCGTACCTGAACACACAGGCATGGCCAGTTACTGCACATTTCAAAGGCTTCTGGATAAGAGCTATCACTTCTGTGAGATTCATTCTGGTAACTGAGGGTGTCCAAAAGGCTATGAAAAATGAGACTTTCTCTGAAACAACATTTTTGCTGGTAAGAGGAGAGCATTTGGACGGAGGCACCCTGGTTGCTTGTAAAAAGCGAGAAGAATATAAAGTCTGTCGCAAAGCCTGACATTTCTGGAAGATTCCAACTTCCTTCTTTCTGGGTTTTAACACTGTTCCATGGTTTATGAAATAGTTGCACATCTCATGCTGCTGATACATGACTCTCCCCCCATGGATTCTACCAGTTTTACTGGGAAGGAGCTGAAGTCCAAAAGAGAATTAGAAGAGCTGAAGGACTGAGCCACAGGGGAAGCCTCTGGAGAAGGAAGGAGTTATCCTGCTTTCCTTTGGCCACACTTACTCTATCTTCGAGTCGTGCAACAGCCATGGTAGACAATAGCAAGCTGGTTAGAGTAGTGACCCACTCCTGTAGATCTCCTCTCCTTCACTAAAAAATAAAATAAAATAATTTAAAAATACCCAACCAATAAAAAGGAAAATAAAAAGAAAAAAATAAAAAGGTATAACACTGCTGTGAGGGAGCCAAAGGTGATTTTTCTTTTTTTCTTGGCCCTCTTGCTACTTCTGTGGGAACTCAGCAGTATTGTTTCCAGAAGGCTTGGTCTCTGTCACCCAAGTGTTTGGCATGTTTGGGGACACCCTTACTACTTCCCTTTCCTCCCCTGCAGAAGAGTCCAACTCAGCTTCAACCGCAAAGCCCAGGAGGCCTTGGAGTTTGTCTGAAACAAAAGAAAAAGATTGCGAAAGGCAGTGGTGTCAAATAATGCTTCCATTTAGTAGGAATTTTGCTCCCCTTGCATTCCCAGGCAGCACCTGCTGTGTGAGGCTCTTGGCCAGCTCCTCTGAGCCTCTGTGGTAAAACAAACAAAAACAGCAGGGAAAAAAATTCCTCTTTATAACGCCTGTTATCCTCAGGCTACCTTCCAACACTGCCTTGCCTCCCCATGTTGACTGTACTCTCCAGGGAAACAGGCTACTACAGGGCCAGAAAGCCTTGTGCAAATGGGCAGTTGAGCAACGGAGGAAGAGACCCTGTCTTATTGAAAACAAGACTGTTTTCCTTCTCTTCCTTCATGTCTAAATGCAGAAGGGTCCTGATTGTTGTCCCTGCCAAAAGACAAAAAGGAAAACACCCTGACATGTCATTACTTCCATAGCAGAAGCAACTAGGAATTATCCCGCATTAATGGAAAATAAGGATGGATGGGAAGGGATGGGTATCCTGACTGAAGGGGCAGGGGAACATATCTCTGTAGATGTTTATAGTCCTCTGTTCAACCCTTTTTATCCACTATTCCTTCTTACATGTCTTAGCATTCCAAGGCTCTTCAGAAGCTGTTTTCTGTTTCGAAGCATGGTGGAACTGGCTGTGCTGGAGGTTATTCATGTTTCTCTGGGGACTGGCACAAATGGCCCACCTGCCTTTTCCCTTCTCAGCCGTCAGCTCTGCCATAGCACCAGTGTTGCTGGTGGTGGCTTGTGCGACCTTCAGGAACCAGGTTAACCTCTCACAGGAGTTTGACAACACCTTTTCACCTCACACCTCCCCTGCAATCCCTGCCTGATGTGCTGTGCTCGGCTTTAGGGGTATAGTGGGAGGAAGGGGGTCAGGAGAAGGAATCACAACTGGGGGGTGGCTGTTTAGTGAAGACTCCCTAAGCTAAATAGAGATCTTAAATCCCTGGGACAGAGATTCACAGGCTGTTGTGATCCCCTGGCTTGACCTTAGGAGTTTTAGGCATCACTTAAATTTCTGTAGCAGAAAGCTTACCTCTCTCATTAACACTGGAATTTCCATGAGTGCCCCTGCTGAAGAAAGTCCCAAGCCACTTGCCATAGTCCACTGCTCATGCTCACAGAGGCAAACATCCCATCCCTCGAGCATGTCCCCAGCACTGGGGTCTTCACTAAACAGCCACCCCCAGGTTGTGATTCCTTCTCCTGACCCCCTTCCTCCCTCTATACCCCTAAAGCCAAGCACAGCACATCAGCTTTCCCCAGTGACTTTGCATTTTCAGGCCAGAGTTAGCATTTAACTGGCCAGAATGGTGCAAGGAGCCTGGATAATTACTGCTGGAATTGTGCTGCATAGGCCCCATGTAACAAACTTGCCTCAAATAACCCAGCTTGAATGTCAGAGTCCGTGCTGTATTGTGTTTCACATTGTGGCTGTGGGAGCGCTTCCCCAGCAGGAATCAGGGTAACAAATCCCTTGCTCTCGCAGGAGGGCCCCATAAAATGAATGATTCTGGATCTCACGCTCCTGAGGAGGTCTCGGTTACTCCAGCAGTTGCTGCTCATAGCGGGAGCGACCATAGGGGACAGAATGAGGGAAGGGTGGTTTGGCAGGCTTTGCTGTATCATCAGCCCAGTGTCTGAGCAGGAAGGAGCACCAGGGCTCTGCTCTCCCCTCCAATCTATATTTCTGCATAGAAGTTAAACTAAATAGAAGTTTAAAAAAAATCCCAAAAAATGGAGAGTGGACAAACCCGGAGGCTTAGATTGGATCAAATGTATCTGCTTGAAATCCTGCATGGCTGCTGGTGCAGGAGGCTCCCAATTCCTCTCAGCTCAGACTTCCCTGCGAGCAGCACCAAAGTCAGTGCATTTATGGGGTGGCAAAAAATGAGACATGCTTGTTCCATGTGCACCATGCCAAACTCCCCTGCTCCTCTTGGAGTAGCTTATGGCATCCCCTCTGCCAAGTCCTGTGGCTCAACATCCAGCACAGTCACCTCTCCATCCATATCAGAAACCTGAACTCCCCCACTTCTCCTTGGGAGAGGAAGGTTGTTCCCTGAACTATCTCCAGTCTCTTCTTATCTTGCTTTCCTTGTCAGCCAGTGAACTGTGAAGCGACAGCAGAGAAAAAAATGAACTCTGACCTCATTTTTCCCCCCTACAATTAGCCAGAACTGTGCCTTTTATTTTTTTTCCCTCCCCACTTTTTAAATGATTAATAAGACAACTTGGTCCTTAGCTTCTGCAGTGAGGCGAGTGTGCTGACAAAGCACTACGATGCCTCTTCCAGGTCACCCGGCAGAAGGCCATGCCTTTATGAAAACATAAAAATTGGAGGGACTATTTCAAGAATTTGGAGACTGAGACACAGGAATTTCACCATTCAGACCTTGGCAACTGTGTGTCTGTGGTGGTCTCTGAGCCCCAGCGACTGCCATGGAAAGGAGTAACTACTTAACAGCAACCTGCAAGCTGTGAAAAACAGACTTCCTTTTCTTTTATTATGCTTCCTTTAAATATGCAGCCACTGCTTTTTACCTGTTTAATGTGGCCTCGGGCTGTGCAGCAAGCTGGATGCAGTGGCAGAACACAGATCTGTAAACACCATCAGTGGCAATGAATAAGGGGATCCTCACTCTTGCTCTCTCTGCACACGAGCATCACTCTTCCATGTGTGCTCATCTGTCTCTTGAGTTTACAAAGCTCCCGTTGCAGTGGGGAGTAGGGAATTAAAGCCAGGTGGGAGTTTATTCTTTTAGATCATCCTTCCTATGTTTGCGTCTTCTTCATGACACCTGTTACATTTGGAGACAGAAAAAGCCTCTATGCACTCCCAGGCATTGCCAGGGTAGAAAGAACTCGTCCCAGAAGGATGCCCCTGAGGGAGCAGGCAGGTGAAGGACCTTCACCAGCACAGGCATAAATGGACAAAGCACTGGAAAGCAGCACTGGGGGGAATAATTCTGCATTTGCCTCTGGTTGATGGATTAACAACTGGATTGGCTTTCTCCCCTAACAGCAGGTAGTGCCTGCCCTCCAGTCCTGTCCAACTGGAAAGCATCACTTAAGGAGCTGCTTTCCACACTGCTCCCAGCAGACCCCTCTGTATCGCTGGGGCTTGAGAAAACCAATGACAGGCCAATACATGCAATACATTCAAGACATTTTAAAAGCAGACAAGTGCTCCAGTGGAGTTTGTCAAGCTGCAGGGCTGCTGCCGAAGGGGTAGTGGGGTGAGAGGTTTTTTGAAAGCATCCTTGGCATGTTAGAGAAACAATTTGCTCTTAGCTATATCTGTGGAGCGGCGTGTGGCGCAAGCGATGTGCTTGCTGCCCTGTCATGATGTCCTTGTGTACCAGCTGGGGGTCACTTAGTTGAAGGGAAGGCCATGCTCTTGGCTGAGAGACAGCAGTGGCACAGCCAGGGAGACTCAGTAGAAGCCAGTGGGTGAGCATGGAGTCTCCTCAAGAGCCACAAATGAAATGGCAAGCCCTTCATTACACCTTTTGATGCTATCCAGAGGGTAAAAGGGATTTTAGAGCTGCATCACTTGCCTGAGAAAGGTGTATTCTGGAATCAAGACTCTTGTGGTTTCAACTAAAGATGATCTGCCCCACAGGCTTTTGGTGGCCTTGGTTTTGTCTGTTCCATCCCTGACTTCTGGGCAACAGGGCCTGTGTTAGCCCCCACAGCCTCTCTCCACCTTTCTGCCCTTGGTGCTAGCCAGCTCCAAAGTAGAGTGTTTCCCTGCCCTTTCCAGGAGGCCTCCCTGGCTCTTTCAACCTTTCTCACAAGAGCTCTTATCTGTCCAGATGTTTGTGAGGGGGAGGACTCCAAGGGAAACCTTCTTCATTACCTCCAACAAACATTCCCTTTTCTTTGGCAGATGCTTCCCAGTCCTCCCACTGTGCAGCTGGGACAGGGAGAAGATGTCAATATTTATGGGGCTGGTAGATATGGTCTTCAGTGTGGCCATGGAAAAGGAACAAAAGCAGTTGTTGTCCCTGGACAAGCTCTCTGAACTGTCAGAGATGTTCTGCTAGTTCATGTATGCCACTTAATAAGCAAAAACTCCCATACAATTGCTTAGCAAATGCTAGTTTCTAGTCATCATTATGAACTTTTTTACTGTAGTACCTCCCAGAAGCGAGTCTGATTGGGCTTCTGTCATGCTATGCAATCTTCAAGCTGCCAGGGAGGCTGAATTCCTTTCTCTAGGAGTTGACAGTCCAAATAAACAGGTCAGACAAAGAAGAGGAGGGAAAACAGAAGCTCAGGGGAGGTGAAGTGAGTTGTCCAAGGTCACGCAGCAGGTCAGTGCCAAAGCTGGGAGCAGAACCCATGCTGCCAGCTCTTGCTCTCAAGTCCTATCTCCCGGGGGAAGACTGGGCCAAAATAATTCATGAGACAAAGAACTTCTTCTCACATCCCTCCTGGCACCACGAAGTTCTTCAGCCTGTGCAAATAAAGCACAGCCAGATAAACAGGCAGCTGGGCACTGGTTATATTTTGGTTTGCTAGGTCTTTGTTTCTTCACATGTTAGAAAAATTTTTTACCAGCTAAAATGATCATCTGGTAGAAATATCAGAGTCAAGGAGGAGCATTGCTTCGGGGCACTGACCTGCAGATCTGGATGGTGAAGACCAAGGTTGGATGGTATCTGCTGGAAGAAAAGTGCTGACTCCCACCTCCTAATGCAGCATGGTTCATAGATGTGGTCCCCTTCTGCTGCACACTGGCACTGACACTATGGTGGAGGTGCCAACAAACAACCTGGACAGTTGCAGGCAGGGAGAAGGGAGAAAGAGAAGTCAGAGAAAGCCAAAGAAACAGCTGTGCTCCATCATGATTTTCCTATGGAGTGAGCTGAAGAAGCTGATGAGGCTTCTATGAGGCACCTTCTGTGAGGGCAACCACGCAGTGGACCTGGAATCTCTATCTGGTTTCAGAGTATGGTGGAGGCAGTGTGGCTGCTGCTTGCAGGGAGATGATAATCCTGGAACTCACCTCACCCTGTCCCCCCTGAGAAATAGGAAAAGAAGCAACAAGGAAGGAAAGCAGCCTCCTTAAGGACTCGCCTGTTCTTTGCCTGAGGCAGAGCTGTGGAATCTAGAGCTCTCTCAGTCCTACTAGAGGCATCACTACTTTCATGCCCCATAACTAATCTTTCATCTCTTTCTCAGGATACAGAGGGTCTTGCTGTAGACAGCATTTATCCAGATGCATGTACTTCACCCAAAATGGTATCAGCCAGCTCTGTCTTAAGCAAGAACTCTGGCTGGCTTGCTCTTATGCTGTTGTGGTAGGGAAGGAGGGCTGGAGGCTGGACTAGGACATCTGACGTGTATGGAGGGGCTGTCAAGCTCAGACTCAAGCCTTGAAGCTCCTTGTATCCCCTGTGCTATGAAGCAATAACCTGCTTGAAACGAAACTGCCCTTTTGTCCTGGCAGTGTCATCCTACAGGGAGCACAACTCTGAGAAGTGTTGTGGCACCATGAGTTTGGGAAGCTGAAGTAGTGACCATACTTGCTTTTGCATTTGGTTAAATGATCTTTCATTAACAGATGTTAAACATAAGAATGTTCACCACTACTTTCCTCTTGCCCTTCAATTACTTTTCTTGCAGTACAAGAAGGGCCTTGTCTCAATGGCAGGGCTGGGCAGGTGGAAGCTGCTCAAGCCATGCTGGCTGGCTGAAATGCCACTGGCTGATTTTTTTAATTATCTGCAAAAGGTTCATTATCTCCTGCATAATGTTTCCTTGCTCAGATGCTTGAGTGCTGTAAGGACATGTGCCAGCATTACTGGGTGGTCCTGATGCCCTCATAGCTCCCTCAGCCCATCTAAGGCTCAGGGCAAGACAAGGACCACAGCAGCATCTGCAGGAGCATATGGTAGTGGATCAGCACTGGAATAGGAAAGACAGCCCAAGAGAAAATATTGGATGTCTTTGCATGGAAGAGCACTCATATCAGCCCATCTTCCCAGCATACTGTTCTGTGAACCAGGCTGTCTGTCAGATAAAAGAGCACGAAGAAGAAAAAAAAAAAAATAAAATCTCAGTGTTGTCCCTGAGGTCAGGTTATCGAGTGCCACATCTGAGAGAGGGGTTGTCACAGCTGTCCAACATCACCTCACCTCCAGTAGAGCTCATCACAAAACCTCTGTGTGCTGCCAAATCCAGGCAGTGAAAACTGGCAGGATCTGCTCATTCCATCCTACATCAGGCTTTGCAGGAGTGACGTCAGTGTGGTCATGAAATGAAAAATGCTGTACCTTTGATGTCGGTGCCACCAAACTCAGCAGAGAGATTTCTGACTGATCACTTGTGAATGAGAGCACTTGAAGCTGCTGGCCTGGATGTTTGTTTGAATCTTGCCCAAGTGGGTTTTTGGCCTCTAAATGAGCAGAGTTAACCAGAATCAGAAAGACTGGTTAATCAGCAGGGTCAGAAATTACTGTAAGACAGCATTCCTCAGGGTATTTTGGTGCCTCTACCTCCAGTCAAATCCCAAAGAGGGCAGAGGAATGTGAAAGTTGAAAAAAAATGTTGACAGAACTTTTCAAACTCAACTGAAGAGTCAAGTTAAGTTTGGTTCAAGTCTGAGGCAAAGGTTGGGTATGGGTCTTCATCTACCAGAGGAGGTTCATCCCTGGTTCAAACAGAATGTCATGGCCACTGGGCAGGAGTAGGAAGTGAAGAAGTAAGAAATTAAGGGAGTAGATTCGGCTTAATCCTTATTAAGCGTCTGATTGCAAGAATCCATGGTTTAGCAGATCTGCTACTCTCAGCAGTTTCAGTTTGGGGAAGGACTGAGACACCAGCGGTTGAGCAGGGGCAGGAGTTACCTGCCACAGCCCCGTGGCCAGGAAAAGCCCCCATGACTCCAGGTGTGCCACGGGGCACCCAGACCCACGAGGCCAGCACAGCTTCAACCCCTCCCATGCAAGAAGGGCAGGGGCCTTTCAAAAAGTGTCACATTTGAGGTGCTCTAGAAGGACTTCGTGGTCACCCACCTGCCATGCCAATAAATATCAATCCCCTGTGCTGCCACCAGTTTCTTGTGTGACTTTGGACAAGTTAGTCAGATTTCATTCTTTTAAGAAGCCCTCAGGATACCAAGGAGATAAAGAAGCAGAAAACTGAAGCTCTCTGATACTGTGGAGATAAGGGAAAGATAACACATAAGTAAGAAGGATGGGAGTTAGACACAATACTCATTCACCAGTCTCAAAGCAAGGTTGAGAACTCTGCTCATTCATGCATTTCTGAATACTAATAAATGTCCCTTAACAGGAGAGCAAATGACACTTATAGGTAACCTGAGGTTCCATTTAATTGGGTGTCTTGTAAAATACAAGCAGGCCTTTGGTGTTAGTTTCCCTCCATGCTTCACTCTTCCTCCCAATTGAAAGAGTTTGAATTGGTCAGCAACAGCAAACAATGACACAGAAAGTGTTTAACCATTAATAAGGGTGGACAATGGTTAGGAAAGTAGCTAAATACACTAGTTATGCTAACAGGCTGTCTTGTCTCTGTGTTATTGAGCTTGGGTTGGGGTTTTTTTGCAAGCTGGCCCCGGTTAAAGTCTTTTCAGGAGTTAATGAGCCAGAGGAGAATCACCTTCTCCATGGGCATGTTTCAAGCCTATGGTTCTTGCAGGTTTTCTTGGCTATTGTGTGCAGGAGCACAGCAGTGGTCAGGGTTGTAAATGCTGGCTCTCTGCTGAAGGGCTGCACAGCTGGTGACAACCCTTCCTCTTCTCTCAGCCTGGCCTCAAGGCCTGCCTTAGATCTTGGCTAAACTGACTGGTGCTTGGGCAAAGGCAATGTCTGGCCCAGTGCACCATCAGCTTCAGCTGTCAGCAGAGACATTTCAGGGCTACTGTAATGCACATCCAGCTGCATAGCTGAACTCAGCTGGGGACACAGGCACACGGCAGCCTCTCCTGCCTTCCTTCACCTCCACCTGGGTCAGTCCCTCCTGGGAAAAGGCTCCAAGTACTCACAGCTGATCCTTTGGCTGCCTGGCTGTGGCTGCATGGGAAGGACAGCCAGCAGAACTGCTCACAGCAGAACCATCCCTGGGACTTCCCTCATTTCTCAAAGAAACCAATTCAGAAACCTCCCAGGCTCCATACAGTAAAACTCAGCACTAAAGCCTGGAGCCTGGGTTTGTTCTTCAGCCATCTGTTTAGGAATGTCAGCCTGTTAGTAAAAGAAAAAGAAATAAGGTACTATGAGGTGTTTCTGGATTATGTGTGTATTGATAGTTACATAACAAAAAGAGAAGAGAGACTGTTGCATAAATTGATTTAAAAAGAAAAAGAATTGCAATATCTACATTTGTCAAAGAGTAGGGGTAGAGATAGGGGAAGAGGGGCTGAGCAACCCTTTTTGTGTTGGCACTAGAAATTAGCATTTTGGGGAGGGGTCAAAGTTTGTGGTCAGAGAAATTACTTTAACCAGCTGGAGTCTACTGCCTCTCTGCCCCTTGAGTAACAAGCAAGCAGCTTTGAAGACTGATAAAAACAAGTTTTCACTAAAGTCAGCACTCCCAAGATGGGCAAAAGCTAAAAGAGGGAAGTTCAGGCAAGTTTTTGCTTCTCCAACCAGGCAGGCCACCAGCTGAATCCTGACCTCAGCATGTTTTTGGCAGGTGACACTTTAAAACCAGGAAGGAAAAGGACAGGAATATGAATGCACCAAATGCACCAAGAGTCACCTGAATCCTCCTCTGCAATGTGAACTGAAAACCATAATCAACCATTTCAGAAATTCCAGCAGAGTTCAGACGTGGTCCATATAGTTTAGAAACTTAAATAAACATCCTGACTTCTGAATTGCGTAGAAGACTGGAAGCAATCTCACTTCTTACTCAGATGCCCATGTGAGACTTGCAGTATTGCCAAGTAGGGGGAAAAAAAGCTATCTTTATTTAACCTATAAGCAGTATTCAACCTGGGAAAAGCAGGGATCATTCAAAGGAAATATATCTGGGTGGTAAAGTAGTTTTGATGAGGTCCTCTTTATTGATTCTGATCTGCCTTGAGGTGTGCTTCAGGTACTGGCCCAAACCTGTTGCTATGAGAACTGTTTTCCAAACTTTTGAAAATTTTGTTCCCAGCTTTTCTGTGAGCACCTCAGATCTGCTCTTTCCAGTGTTGCTGGACACAATTGTTTCCTAATGAAGTGATGGATCTTGGTAAGTTGTGCATAAAATGCAAAGGGGCTGATAGGAATAATCCCAAACTGGGCTGAGAAAGAAGAAGATGAGCAAGCCATGTTACATAGATGGACTGGTAGTTTTGTTTTCTCAGAGCTTCACATAAAACACTTAAGATACCTGCAAAACCTAGAAAAGAACACTCAGATGGTTTATTAATAGGATCTCGAGGTCTTTTTACTCCATGTTCTCTATATTCAAAATACCGTAACTGAACCTAAAATATTTTTGCTGCAGGATTCCCCAGAGTTGAAACCACTGACAAAAGACTATTTGCATCAGCTGACACTGATTTTTTTTTCTCCTCCACGGACAGTTTTATTTTGGAGAAAGTGGTTAAAAACCTGAAACTTTCAAAGGCAAACTCCTGATCAGATTGAAGAATGAGTTCATAAAAGGGCGCGGTAGCCCTGTACACTGAATTAACCTGACCCTCTGGCATCTGCTGGCTTCCTGGCAAGCCTTGGCAGGTGGCTCCCTCTCCTACACCCTGGAAACTTTCACTCGCTCTCTCTCCCTCTGCTAGCTGCGCTTTGGGACACAGAGCAGGAGCTGGGCAATGTGCTGCAGCCCATCTTTCCCCAAACCACAATGTTTGCTGACGCCAGCGGGTTCTCCCTGATAAAGCACCAACAGCAAGACCTGCTCCAGCCTTTCTTCCTCCCTCTGCCAGGGCAGTGATCTCAGCCCGCCCCGGTGTGCCAGCCAAATCCCGCGGGGGTCACAGGCTCGCATTCCTGCTCCGTCTGCCTCAGTTACCCCACTTGGACATGTTATGTGTCCTTGTTTCCTGTTGTGGCATCCTCGGCATTCCCCAGCGCTCTCCCGGCCGCATTGCTCCTCCGTGTACGTCAGGGCCAGGGCTCGGTGCTGGCTCGGGCAGAGGGATGCATTCCTGACATGCACAGGTAAAAATCTCCCCCAGATCTATCCCAAAGCCAGCACTTGTCAGTCATGGCATAGCTGGGAACGTGAACGTCTTTGATCCTTGCCTTGGCACCGTACTGACAGACAGAGACCACGGGGGAGTCTGGATTTAGTGCTGGTTTTAGGGGATCAGTGGGATCCACCAAGAGGGCATTCGTCTCCTCGTGCAGTTTGCTGTTGGAAGTTTAGTGAGTGTTTTAGAAAGAGCACAAAACTCATGAGTGCTGAAAGCTGTTGTAAAAACACCTCCCATTGAGCAAATTAACAGCAGATTCCCAGACCTCATCAGCCAGGGTTCTGCATGAGACCCTAAATGATGGGAAAATCTATTTTAAGAATGTTTAGGGAACTTCTCAGGATGTGATAATTTAATTTTTTTTTTAGTGTGCTGAATATAATGTTTTGTGCACTGCTGCAAGTATAGCCTCTGTTCAGTACCCAGTGCCTGTGCAGACACACAAGGTGGTGAAATATGGTGGGCAGAGGCCTCTTATTTGGGGAGGTGTGAGAGAGGAAACTCGCTGTGGAAGCATCCACTTTCAGCCAATATCACTTCACAGGTGAAAATATATTGAACACAAACACCTTGATTTTCAAGGTCCAACTGATCTGTATTCTTGGCCACTTAATTATGACTGAATGAGTGAGCAATTCATGAGTGACTGGGATAAGAAATGGGAAAGGGTGCAAATAAGGACATTGGACAGAGTAGAAAGAACACCATCAATAATGTGATATCATTGTCTGCCTTGCAGAAAAAGTCACATAGATAAAATGCATTATTACTAACCTGTGAAGTATCAAATATTATTTTCCATTAGAACTTAAAAATGTCTTCAGATCTTTCTGCAAAATATTCATGAATTGTTGGCTTTTTACTTGCCTGGTTGCATCCCGTCCTGAGGCCATGTCCTTCAGGCAGAGATGGCTGTTTTTGTGGTTGGGTAGGCTGTTTCCTCATCCCATCCCCACGTAGGACTCTGGTCCTGTTTTTGTGCTTCTGGTCCTGTTTTTGTGCTGCACAGATGATGGGAGGTGTAGTGACATTAGCCTGGAAACAGGCAGGAGTGTGCTGTGTTGCAGCTGCAGTGATGCTCCTTGTGTTGTCTTCCATCATGGAAAATCTGACAAATGAATTTTAAGAGGGGAAAAACAGTCAAATAGAGTGGATAGAGGAGGTCTGGCTTAAGCAAGGAATGTGCAGCTCAACCCTACCTGCCATGGAAATGCCTGAGGGTAGCCAGGGACAGACACATGAAAATCACAATAAATATTGGGCAGAAAGAAGGGAGACTCCATTGTTTGGCTCCTCTTCCCTCCCATCCTGCTCCTGTTTGTACAGTCCCCATAATGACACATGTATCTTGGCCTGCTGGACTTTACACTCGGGTGTATGTGTGTTTTGGGCACTGAGTTCAGAGCCCAAAATTAGAAAGAGGATGAAAAGAAAACACATTTGCAACACCGCTTAGCTGGAATGAAAGCATTTCTGCCACCCTGCCTGACACTCTGGCTGGCAGGAGCACCCACTGGGTCCCAGCCCCACTGCCCAGGCATACAGCCAGTCTCTCCTCACCAAGGAGAGCAATAAATTATTGCTTGTATGGCAGAGCAGGGACCCAGTCCCACCATGCACACTGGAAGAAGCAGACCCCAGCCCTCCTACTGGCCATGCAGAGCAGCTGGGAAACTTGGAAATATAAAAGCAAGCTAGAGGAAGGCAGAATAACCTGTTCCCAAAACTACTATGAGATGCTCAGCCTCAGGAATGTGCAGAATCAGAGCTGTAAAATGCTGCAGGAGAAAGGCTTACCTGGGCTGTGGGTTTGCCAGATGTGTAGTGCTGCCCCAGCAAAGCCCTGCCAGACAATGAGAGCTGGTCACAGTGGGTGAGGAGGGTCTTTGGGAAGCTGAGGGACCTGAGAGAAGGTTCTGACTAGCTGCCAGGCGTTAAGAGTAGCAGAAGTCATTGCTCAGAATTTCATTTGTACCTTGAAAGTGCTCTAGTGTCCAAGCTGATCATCAGCCAGTGAAAAGCTGTGCCAAAAGCTGAACCAGAAAGGGGGACTTTGGTAGGAAGGAAAAATCAAAAACAAATCTGTCCCTTCTGCCCATGTCTCCTGGAGGTGGAGGTGAGAAGCTGATAAAGGGCTCAAGTAGAAGTGTAGCTTTTGCAGAGAAATTCAACTGGACCCAGATGAGGCAGGGACCATCCTCCTGTCCCAGCTCCTCAACCTGCAAACTCCCAGCAGATGGCTGAGACTGAGGACACATGCAGAAGGCTGTAAGAACTACATGGATTTTGCTGATTTGGGGTCTGGCAGCTCTGGTTTTCCTCATCTAAAACCTTGAGAAGACAAAACACATTGCCCCACAGTCGTATTGCATGAGTAGCTCTGGAACAACCAGTGTGGAGTTTTGCGGAAGGTGAGCAAGATGTAGGTACAACTTAATCTGATATTTGTTTGATCTATTCCTTTGATATAGTCAGTGATTATAAATCTTGCAAGATAGTGTCATGGCCTAATTAGCCTTACCACAGGAGTCTTTGAAAATATCACTGCAGGGGTGATGTCAGCTTTACTTTAAACTTCAGCATATACTGAGTATCTGTGGCATGAACAGAAGCACCAGGACACCAAGACGGCAACGTCAAGCCCTCACAGGCTGGGGAGCTAGAGCTTTGAGATGTGTGTTGCCTGTGTCTCATTTTGAGTTGCCAAGCACAAGACATGAGAGATTGCATGTGGGAAGGTTGTCAGCCTTTGGGACTGGACCTGGGGCTAGCCAGAGCCATGCTGAATAAAGAGCATAAAGAGCTGCAAAAAAAACCTAATCAGGAAAATTGGAATTTATATGGTTCTCGCTAGGTAACACGAGGAGTGGTTACACTTTGCTGATAATCTCTTGGTGCCTCATTTCCCTCACTCTGAAATTAGGATGACGGTTTGCTCTTATCTCACAGGTAAGCCACAAAGATACATTCATTAAAGTCTGCATAATACTGGTAAAGGATGCAGACACTGGGATGAGACCCTCACAGAAACACCCAGAAACTAAAGCCTAAGTTAAGACAATATTTTCCAACTGGGAGACATCCATCTTGTGACACTGTTTAGGTACAGTGACTTTTATCTCTGCAATGCCAGTCAAGCCACTAAATCCTTGCATTTGATGGATGCTGGGGCAGCACGGCCGCAATTGCTCATTGTCAGGCTGATACAAAGGTCACAGCTCTGATAAGCTTTGGATCAAAATCCAAAACAGTCTCTCAGGTTTGAAAGAACAATAAATTTACTAATTTAGCTTTAGTGTTGGGTAGTAGCTGGTGCCACCTTTATCTGTTTCTCCTTAGAAAATAAACCCAGCATCACCATCCCCAAAGGAGCACCGTGATGCTGCAACATGCTGTTAACCTTCACAGCATAAGACAAAGGCTTTGCAGGGGAGGAGAAGGAGGGCAGGAGTCTGTAGAATGACCCAAAGGCTCTGCAACACCTCCCTTGCTGAATGGCTTCGTTGAAGTGGCTGTGTGCCCGAGCTTTGTGAGGAGTGAAGGTGCTTGTGAATCACACCCTGGATGCCCACTGGAGCCTGCCAGGGCTGTGGCTCAGTGCCAAGGACACTGTAATCGAAACGATAGAATAAAAATGGATCACTGTAGAGGGGATCATCCACTATTGTGGCTCACCCTTAATCCTTTAAAAACTAGTATACAGTCTCCAGCATTATAGTTAGCCCAGGTGCATCTTTCAAGAAAGATGCAAGAAGTAGGCACAGATAAACCATCTCTGATTCTAGCTTTTAATACCAAAATACCTTTTTTTTGTTTTATTTCCTTTCCCAACTCTGGTTAACAGGTGCTACTATAAGGTCGTTGACACCACTGTTGCCTAAACACACCTATCCCCCATTTCCTCTTGAATCTGGATGTGTTCTTGGGGGAGCCCAAGGGGATCACTGAGCCACACAACACACCCAGACTGGGGATGGACAGAGGGGATGAGAATGAAGCCAGAAGAGGATGGATAGTATGGGGGCGATGAAAAACTGAGACCTGTGAGAAGGTACAATTGTGGCAGAAATGGAGGAAGCACTGTGGACTTTATTCTCTGTCTCCGGGAACATCAACACTGAAATCTCTGCTTGGATCTGGATTTGTTGACACAAAATCCACTGCCCAAATGTGGGGGTTGGACACAGTTTACCTGTTACATTCCCAGTGCTATCTCAGGAACACAACTCCACAGGCTGGAGCAGTTGTAGTATATCTGTCTGTCTCTTATCTAGTGTGTAACCTCCTGGACTGAAGACATAATGTACTGTCTATCCTTTCTGTGATAAAAATAAAGCATATAAAACACACACATATACACACACACACACAATCCCAGGCCAAAAATTCCCTCAGGAGAACATACTGTGACTAGATAAGAAGGTACTAGCTGGCACGTAGTTACCTCTTTGCTTCCTAACTGGGACACTCAGGGAAGGGTGGAGTTGGTTCTGGTGTGGGGCCACAAGAGAAGGGGGAGAGAGATGTCATGGGATGGATAGCAAGATAAAGAAATAGCCATGGAAGGAGCCAGCTCAAGGAAAAAGAAATCAAAACCAGACTGGACTTGCTCCAGGTTTTCATAACCCCTCCAGCCAGCTGTAAAATCTGAGAATTTTTGGGCCATGAGCAGTAAGCCCATGTCTTGAGGGACTGAACAGGAGGTCTTTGGGGCTCAGAGCATCAACTTCTATATGAGATAAAAACTGGAAAACCTTCTGGAAACTGGAAATGCTCTTGGAAAACTCCTGGAGAACTGACATGTGTATGACACCGCATGTTGGTGGTGCTTGACACACCGCACTCCTTGAAGGTCAGCTTTCCTTCTGGGAGCAATCTGGTCTCTTCTGGGGGATGGTTTTTTCCATCTCTCCTCTGCTACTGGTTCCCTTCAGTGATCCTGGTAAGTTTGTGGACAATATCTTCCTCTGAATGACAGGTGTGACTGGCATCCTCCTGGGCACATGGAGAGGCTCTGCTGCCAGGTCCTGAGAGCTGCACAGCACATCAGAGGCTGGTGGGATTTGGGAAACACTGAAGGAAAGAGAGTTTTGAAGGAAAGGTGGAAGTGAAAGAGAAGGGAAACCAGAGGTTCAGCATGTTTATGAAACAAACCCTGCTGGAGATCCCGAGCCCAACTCAGCATCCGAGGTCACCAGACTCAAACCCACCGCCCAGTTTTTTCACTCACTCTGGGTTCTCTTTGTAGATCCAAAGCAATATAATGGATGAAGGAGAATTGCAGTCATAATCAATCCTTATCTCCAGTGTTTACACAGTGCTTAAAAACTGTCAGAACCACACCAGTGCTTCCCTTCCTGTCAACAACTTCTGCTGGCTCCACGGCTTGGCAACCAGCAAGGCAGTGGCAGCTCCTACATCCTACTTCTGTATCACTGTGCACCCAGGAACTTCCCCCCACCCCCCGCTTCAAATATCTCCCTTCCTCAACATCTCTTGCCCTCAAGCACCTTCAGGGAAAGCAATTTTTAGAAATCCAGCAACTGGAAGAGATTTTTGGTTTATCTTTCTTTCGGACAAGGTGACAGCCTAGATTGTAACCTGCTGCTGCCTTGATGCTCCCTGCACAGGAAGGGCAGCTGTGCTGGGACCCTGCCAAGGATGCATTTTACAGGTGTCTGCTGGCTGGAGGATGCCAGCAGCCCAAAAGATCACCAGTCGTGGGCAGGGCTCTTTGGAAACCTTTTCACAACTAACTGGCTTAGATAGTGGAGTAAATCATGCATTTCCCAAAAGAGGGCATCTCATTTTCACTTTGATGGATGGGCTCAAGTGTTGAGTCAGAATGAAAAGATAATATTTGTGGAAAGCCCACATACTTCAGAAGAACTTAAACCTTCTTTTTCCTTTGGTCTCTTTGTAGTATTTTTAAGAAAAAGTTAACTCAAATTTTAAGAACTGTGCTAGGAAGGAATAGGAAAACATTTGGTTCTGAAAATGTCAATATTACATATTTGGACATTTTCTGTATTTGTTTTTTTAAAACAAACAAAACAAAACATTGAAATTTATACTGGCTTTGCTAAAAATGTCAGTTCCATCAAAATG